ACAGCCTCATCCAATTATTGAGTAAACACGAAGAATCCGCGGGTCAATATATCGTTTGAAAAAAAAAAAAAGAGAGAGAGAGAACTAGCGCCGCCAGGCCGCTTACGGATAAGTGATGCAGGTGTTGCACGGACTAGTAGTAAGTAAATTAGCTCGGTAAGGTTCTCGAACGCAACGTGGCTATTTTCATCTGGCTTCCGTCTGAGTCTGGGCTCTATCGTCGGTGTTGCTCTTCGTCGGTGTTATGCGTCTTCTTTTTTTGTCCGCAATGTTAAAATCATGTCGCGCACTTAGACGGGACAGACCGGTTAACAGATCTGCGCTGTACATCACGTTAATACCGCGTGTCTCTTGATATCGTGCGCCGCGCAAGTATTCAAAACGCTCAGCAGATCTAATGTTTCTAATGTTTCTATGATAATGTTCGTGAAGGTTGCCACATTGCAGGATTTAATTTTCTTTTGAATTACGCCATTTCAAGGGAAACACTCGAAACCCTTCTTTTATCCCAGAAACAAAGGGGTGCGACAATGGAACCGTTCAAACGATTTCTTCCAAACGAATATACGCATCACTCGTATGCAGCGCACAATAATAATCTCGTTGCACCGTGCAGTAATTGCGCTTTCGCATGCGTAACTCGGTTAATTGATCGATAAGTAAGAATAAGAAGGACCGACTATAATAATATAAAATAAAGGAAAAAAAAAGTATTCGCTATTTTTATCCTATTGCAAAATGAATAATACAAACATTAGAGTTATATAATTTACGAATATAATTATCCCGTATCTATAGTGCGAAATGAGGTAACGTCTGATATAAGGTAGAGTACAGCAAGGAATGTTCTTGCCATTACGTTATCGTACTTGCACAATTTGCACAACTTGCACAACTTGCACAACTCGCGCATTTATATGCGATATAATTTTAATTACCTTCCTGGAGTGCAAATTAATTATCAATGTTGATAAAGTTTACGATACTCTACGTACCGCACGTGAAGGTGATATCAGCTCGCTTCTATTGCGTCTTACAAGATAGATAAGTCGTGCAAAAAAAATGTAAGAGTAAATATAAAAATGTATATGATATAAATATATAAAAAATATTAAACTAAGAAACTCTTATGTATACAAAATGCCTTTATGAATATTTCGGAAAAGTAATCGTACAAATATCACCAGCGTTTTCTCGCGATGCTTTTATATTCCATCGGTAATGACGATGTAAATGTTACGACAACATTACACTTTGAGTTCCAAAATAGTGAGAAAAGAACTGATTGTGCCGAGTTGTCTTATCGTGCTTTCTTATATGTAACGAGTTAACATACTTAGAAATGCAAAATTCTTGGGTAAAGTTAAACTGCAAAAGCGTAATTAGTCGCTAACTGCGTCAAATGGGTGCACATAGAAATATTTGTTTATTGTAGCTATGTTTGCATTAGGACATTTCTTAAGGAATATGCATGAGAAACATCGCACATATTCAGCTAAGTTATGAGATTCGAATGTGATTTTATGTTCATATAAAACGAAATAATATATTAGATCTGTAACTTGAGGGAAGCGTTTAAATAAATCTGAAAAGATAGTAAAAAAGTTATATATATATATATATATATATGCAACCTTCTTCTTTCTCCTCGAATAATATCACGAATAATTCACGAAAGGAAATGCGGAGATTCGAGCTTAGGTAAAAAACAGCGTTGTTTGTTGAAATTACAAAGGACCGTATCCGTCTACGTCCCACGTTAAGCGCGCCAACAACGACGGCAGCGACGACGACGGATCGCATTCTGAGTTTTAGGTGCTCCGCTACATTTGCATAATGATAATGCATTTGCATAATCATTATGATAACTCGAGGGCAATCCAGTACGCGTGCGCGCGTTCGTCATCGTCAGTTGTCTCGTCGTGGCATGTTCAAAGTATCCTAATTTTGTATCCGTGCTCTATACAAGGTGATTCTGGTAACTGGGTTGGGTTATGTCTCTTTTTTAAGCCAAGGCATAAAGAAATGAATGAAGATCTTTAACAGCTCGCTCTACTATTCTGTGATTGTTATTTTGAATAATGTACATTTGTAAAGTGCACTTTTTTAAGAAGAGAAAATCATATACTTTTTTTTTTAATATCAATACTACTAAAAAAATCAAGAATAAAGAATTATCGGATAGCAATTAAATATCTTGATAATCAAGTTTCGAATTTAGATTTTCTACTGAAAAAAGTTTGAAAAAAGATTAATTAAAAGATTAAATTTTAAGTTAAAATTTTGATTTGATAAATACACAAACCACAACTTTTCTTTTAATCAATTATAATTTGGTTGGACACATTTATTAAGGAAAATTTTTATAAAGCGAAAAATGGACAAATTGTCAAATTTGGACATTCTGATAAATTGATAAATATAGTAATAATTATAAATTGATAATTTTGATAAATTTTGATAAATTTGTGGCCATCTTATGCACTGAGTTATGCGATCTTCGTGCATACAAATGTCCTGTACACTCAGTTTACGCGCACGAATATACGCGCTCATAGAAGAGCAGTCAACCTTCTCGATCTACGGTCGAACACGCAGTACACACAGAAACGGAATAAGGCGTAAAAGGTGTGCACGCGTGTATAAGAGCGAAATAGCTGGCAATTTGCGAGGTTTACGAGTTATTTCACAATGGCTGCAAAGTATAGTTCTACAATATTATACTGCCGTGGTAGCTCGAGTGCACGGTCAGCGAACGTTGTTGCACGGGGTAAAATGAGAACGTGTGAGTGCGTGTGAGCGAACGCAAGGGGCGAGATGGGGGAGGGGGAGAGGAGGGAAGGAGAGTCTCGTACGAGTGCGTTGTCGTTCGTGTTGAGTATCACCGTCGGTGAACTACTTTGTGTACGATAGGTACAATCGTTGTTTTACTGAAACAAGACCCCTCCCCCCTCCCCCCCCCCGATCGGGGATGGTACGCGACGTACTCCGAAGTTATTGGCCCCGCGTCTCGCCTCTGCTTACCCTATTTCAAGACAATAACCAACCGACTATAAACCTGTCCGGAGGTCGAGCGCTTTTATTTTCCCCGAGTTAGTCGAGTCTGGTTCTCTAAAAGCATCTCCTTCTAACAAACCTTCTTCGAATCTTGATGGGAAGAGACAATAGCGTCGCGCGATTTCGTTTTTTGAATGAAAGCGCAAAAGGGTATCGCGATACTTAAATATCTGCGAGCAGAGATATGGAACAGACGCGGAGCGAGAGCGTCAAAAAATTTGTGAAGAAAAAATACGCGAGAGCGCGGTACGCGAACGATTACCGACACCTCGAAAAAAAAAAAAAAAAAAAAAAAAGATGCGAAGGAAGAGTAAAACAGACGAAACCACCATCACCCCGAAGAAGAAAGATTAAAGAGCAGCTTGTACGCCCTCGCCGGAATGATGGATGCGATCCCCGAGATGCGGGCGCCGTTCGCCAAGTAGGTGGAGACTTCTATTTCCATTCCCCCGCGCACGTTGTTTCTCGTTTCCCTACCCGTTCGTCTTTCGCGCACCGTTTATCCGTGTTCGTCCGCTTGTTGTACGCTTTAATCGATGATACGCCATTACGCCGATGCTCCGTTAAGCAAAAGAACTCACTCTTTTCGCTTAGAACAAAAATCATATTCCTCTCCAAAATAGATTCTTTCGAAGAATCGTACAAGCGCAGGCGTTGTAAAATTTTAACACTTACAACATTTATCACAATCACAATTCGGTATCGTCGTATCACTTTTGTAATCATCGATCGTGTAAGTGTTAGTTTTTAAAAATTCGCAACGCGAACTCTTTCGAAGGCAGGTTTGTCACACGGACTGCGAAAGGATATCGGGCGTTTTGCGAGCTCACGCGCGCGAACAACAATTTAAATGGTAATTCAATACCACACCCTCTTTGCAAAAACCGAAAACCGCGGGTGAACGGGGCGGCCGGGCCGACCCGGCCGGATCGCCCGGCCGCGCCATTTCATACTCCATATGGCAAAAATGCATCCACGCAAGCGGAGTGCACGGCGAGTCACCGCAAAAAGCGTTAACAAGGCTGCGATGCGAGTCCAGCTAATTCTATAACTTTGCCCCTCATCCCCCTGGCCGGCTCGCGCGCAGCCTCCTTTCTATGTGTCTTATGAATGAAGCACCGTCCAGGCTCCGAAATGTTCCTTCCTTCCTTCTTTCCTTTCTCGTAGTGTCGAGCCGATCGCCTCTCGTTCTTGCCACGAAATATACCGTCAACGAACTCGCCGTTCGGGGACGGTCGGCCGGTAATTATCTCTCGGCTGTGTAAAAATAATAATTAGCTTCCATCGTTGCATTAATTAAAGAGCCTCTCTTTCTCCCGGTTCACCATCTCCTCGCTCCGCGCTTTCGCAAGAGGAGAGTTCCGTCGTAATTACACGTCCCTCACGGCACTAACCAGTGTCCCACAAAGGTGACCGCGTGAGTTGTTCACGCCCACGACACTCGACTTGGGTTCGCGCGATCGCGCCATGGCATGGCTGTTGCAGTCGATGCTATTCCGGATATCATCATTGAACCAACATTTCGGAGCCGCTATTTCCCTTTATTTTGCTAAATTCACTTCGAGACGTACTTTACAAACCGTTCGACTTAGACGGAAATAATCAAGCATAAGATTTCGATAAGATTTCGAATATGAAGCTAATAATTTTTAGCGTTCCACAAAAAGCATTAAGCGTACAAAATTTTGTACTCCTTCTCCGCAATTGTATACGTACGTAATATATAATTCAGAAAAATTGGTATGAATGAATGTTATTGTTTTTATAAAACGTAAGTTTGATTAAACTGAGAGAGAAAAGAGAGGGAAAAAAATTGGAAAAAAGACAATGAAAACGGTACGTTAAATATGTTAGTCGGCCAAAATACGGCGATAGCGCACGATCATTCCCGACAAGCTGAGGAAGGCGTACGTACGTACTTGCTAGGTATTTGCCTGACGCACCTGTCTGAATTGTTCTTCGAAGCTCCAATTAGTTCCAGGTGGATGTTGACTATTTACTGATGCCGCACGAGTTTCACCCTCACGAGCTTCTCCGTTATTCCTGGAATTTCCTTGTGACTCTCCGTTATTCCGGCAGCGAGGTGGCGAGGATTCGTTGGACTGCGAAGTGGCAACAGGTCTGGAGGAAGTAGTGGAGCAAGCCAACGCTTGATTTTCACCGATTTGATTCCCGAGACTTCCCGCGATTTGCGAATGATTGTTTTGCGACGGCTGTGATGATAATGATGGCGGTAGTGGCGGCGGTGGTGGCGGCGACGATAAGTATAAAGGTGGAAATAAGTTACCGAAGGAACTACTGTTCATTGCGGCCTGTAGAACCTCTAAACTATTTCTACCTTGTAACATATCCGCCTCGGCTTGCTATAAAAACAATCATTAAAGGGAGAATTAATTAAAATCGAGCTAATACCGAACGATAAAAATAATTTTTATTCGAGTAATTAACTGACATCAGGACACCTTTTTCATAAATAGGAAAACTGGACAAAGATTTATTCTATCATTTCAAAAAACTGATAAATTAACTTTTACTAAAAAATATATTTGCAAGCGTTATGACTCTAATTAGTTGTAATTCAGTAAGAAGTGCAATATCAATTATCTTTATTGAAACTTTCCAATTTTGCAAGAGATTCTCTTCATTTTCGCACTGCGGACAAATACTATTATGCACAAAATCACGTGACTTCTTATCAGATCGTGAAGATATTTGCGCTTGCCCAGATCTGTCATTCGGTCATTTGGACTGTTGTCACGGTGACAATTCATTTATGACTGTCAATGTCTATTATTACGACTATCTCATGATTTTCTACGATTCGTGTCATTCTACCTTGGCACTTTTGTAGGTCAACGAACGCTCGAACCTGCCGAGCAAGTTTTATGACGAATTATGCGACTGCTTATCTTTACGGAAACTCAGCAGGGCGAATGACAGGGAACTCTTAACAACAAGACTATTTTTTTTTAAATCTGCATGTGTTTTCTCTTGTTGGCGCGCACGTCAACAGGAGAATACTCAGCAAAACAAGAAATGATAGTTACATATTTAACGAGATGCGAAACGAGCGATAGATTAAATATATAGATAAGAATAAAAAGAATGAAAAGACTTCTCTTACTAACCTCCAATCTCAATTTCGCTAGTATCTGTGGATTATGCGTGGTCATTAAATTGTTCAACTGTACTAATGAAGATACACCTACAGCTGCATCCAAACTCACTTGTGGGTTGACTTGAAGTGACGATGAGAGTAAGTCTTCTTCATCTTGCGTTTCATCATCGATTTCTGATTCATCTTCCGACCTCCCTTCCTGATACTGAAATCGTCAAAGAACACAAAAATTATAATTCATTTTGTTCAAAATAAAATTCTACTTCGTATTAGATGCATATATCCATGCATAATCATAAAGATATGCGCAATGCACAAGCATGTTATTCTTATCACTTGAAAACGACGCGATAAGTTATATTATAAAAGCAAATGATAATTTTTTACTATAATAATTGGCTATTCGTTACTAATATTTTCATACGTTGGTAATTGTGCGAACTTTTCCTATTCTCTCTATCTTTCGATTCATATTTGCGTCAACTTACGAGCGCATGAAAATTTCACAGTCGATGTTAATTGTAATTCGTGTTATTTGAACTGAATAAAAAGTAACGGAATTTATTGATAACATAATATCAATCATGCATGCGAGTTTAATCGTGAACAGGAAGGGCAGATAGCGAGGCATTAAACATTAATTAGGAAAATGGCGAATGCGATGAGTTATATTACACCGAGATAGCCGCTATCAAGTAACATTATTATGCTACGGGTGTCATAAGTGTTTTACGGTTGTGCCCATTGCACCGGAGCCGGCATAAAAATGTACAAGTCACATTACTGGGAACGGAAATGGCCATCGTTAAAAAAAAAGAGATGGACACTCCATATTTTTTCCTCGTCTGAAATTAACTCGACCTCTCGATAAATGTCTCGCTCGCGACTCTCAGACACGGCGAGCATCGACTCGCGTATATTCATTTTTTGTGCGCATTAATTTTTGTTTCCTAGATAAGATCACGAAATATATGTATATATGTATATATGTTTTAAACCAGACAAAAAAAAATTTAAAAATCTAATCGCGCGTCAATAAAATGTATCTATATAATCTTTAGATTTTATAAATATGTTGTATATTATACTATTAAATTCATAATGTCAAGTTATACCTAATTTGTTATTTTTAATTTATTATTTCTATAAGTCGTTACTGTTCCTATTTATCGTTAATTTAACTGCAACAATAGAGTTAACTAATTTATTACTAAGTTAGCGTTTCAAGACCGAAAAATCATTTACTTACGTAGTACATAAATTTACACAGAATCATACAAGCATTTAAGATCCAGCTAGACCGTTTAAGGCATTAATGTCTATAATTTATGTTATCACATATACGGTTCTAATAAATATATTATATTGTTAACTAATTTAATTCAAGAAAATGTATCAACTTTAATTAAAAATTAGTTTACTATTTACTAAATACATATATAGTATTACTTTGGATATTTACTTTGAGACAAGAGAAATGGATTGATTTATATTTTGGCATACATGAAAGGTGAAAATAACGAAATATTAAATTCATGGAAATCATTAGATTACCATTACTCCTTTAATATTTAACAGTGTATATTTCACATATATGTATTCATCTATCTCATATATTTTATCCATAATAGAACATTACAGAGATGAAAACAAAAGAAGTGACATTCGAGAGGAGAGAGAGACTTCACTATTCATTATTTTAGGGAGTGTTCCTTTTATCTAAAAGAAGATGCAAATAGATTCACCGAAGCTTCGAGTATATTCAAATGGCGAAGAAGCGAGCTTTTACCTGGAAAGGGCGGACTTGAGTAAATATATGTTTATCGGAGATGCAAGTGGATTCAACGGTAAATGTACCGATGTCGGGCCCAATCTTAAATGGGACTACGATCGAAGGACAAGGCATCCGATGGGCGAGGAGTGACAAACGGTCTCTCTGTCGGCATTCTGAGCACGTGTGATAATATTGACCCTCTACGGTGGTGGTCAGGAAATGAATGAGCGGCAAAAAATAAAATCCTAATCAAATACGAAACAAGTTCGTTTCTGAGATTTCGATCGGTCAACCTGTTATAAAACCTTGCTTATATTTTTATTTCGTCTATATATATATATATATATCTCTTATCTATCCAATAATGTGAATTATATTATATTTCTTATACGTAAATTAAAATTACAAATGGTAAAGCATTAAACATGTGTGGTGAAAGATGTGTTTTCAAGAAAATTTTACGTTATCCACTATCGGATATCAATGGTACATATGTGTCAATGTTCAAAGGCTCATTCCGATAACAAATCGTGAAAGTCGTTGTGTGTTCCGGAGGCAAGTGTTTACGAGAAAAATATTGTTGAAATCGCCGCGCGTCGGAAAGAAGGCGCGAAAAGAAATTACGGTGGTTAGCACTGTGGCATCGTTATTCTCACCGTGGCGTGGGGTTACGAATTATATCATTCAAGTGTTTGCGGACGGTACCGTCATTACAATAATCACGGTAGAGCCGCATTCGAGGATGCCATTGTTCTAGTCCGAACCGACCATTCGCACGTAGGTGTTTGAATATCGTATGGAAAGTGACGGAGGAAATACGTCGGTTGCATCCGTCGACGCAACGAATATCCTCAAGTGGATAGACGCGTTCAATTATTATTAATCGGATTAGATCTGTTTGAAGATTCATACAAAATTTTTCACTTAATAATTATCGCTAACTGCAATTCAACTTTATCGCTAATATTTATTCTATTGAAACTTGGACTCGTATGAATATTCATTTAATTAGGAATCACGCCTTATTTTCTCGATATTTACCTTCGCAAAAAAACTATGTCGTAACGATCTATTTTTATTCTTGTTATTTCTGATAGCAATTAGAGATGAATTGAATAAATCAACACAGATTATCAATGGAAGTAAGATTGTCGCTTTGAACAAACAATTGATGTGCGCTCTCTCTCTCTCTCTCTCTCTCTCTCTCTCTCTCTCTCTTTCTTCTCTGCCTCTCACTCTTCCTTTTTTCATAATCCATGGCGTTGTGGTTTCATAAAGACATTTTAACGAGATTTAATATATCCTAGGCACGACAATAGCTAAATTTATCGAAGGCTAAGTCGCGACGCGTTACCCTTTGCAGCCACTGCAGATAGCAATGTCCACGTGATTTATCGCCATACCATCACCAACCGATTGTTTTATTGTTTATACTTTATAGTTTCCACTCTTCGAAAGTGCTTACACTCTTCAACAAAGACTCGTGGGTGCGTGTATGTGCATACGTTCTCGCATATATACTTGTGTCTCGGTGTGGCTTGTAAATCATCGCCTAAATGCTCCAGGCACTATATACGGCTCTAAATATTCTAATTACTGCAAGATTATCGCATTTAATTGAGGAACATCAATTATATGAATATCTGTCAATTTTAATTATCAATCGTAACAAAGTTCGTATAGTTCGTTATTTATATTAGTTATATAATTTCATTACTCAAAATGCGAGTAACTTAATTCCTTTTCATCATTATAATTTTATAAGAATACAATATGTATACTAAAACGCAATTTTTACATGCAGTTCAGTTTGTTAATCGTCTAGATGATCTGAATTTTATGAATCTAGTTAAAAAGAAGAAGTTATTACTTCTTCTGTGTGTTCAGGATATTTATATTTACAACTTTAATCTATCTAATTAATATCGCGTAGCTTTTATTAAGTGCAACAATTTGCTGTACATATTGAAAATTACGACATAAATATAGTATGCATTTGTTGAAAGAGAGAGGCATTAGCTAGATATTTTTCAAGTCATTACATAGCTAAATTGTGTTACTATTTTATAGCTTCATGGAATAGTTCTCCACTATATAGAAAAGGAATAGGAAGGATAATGTTATCGGACATACAAATTGCAACGTGAAAAGATTTGAAAAAAACTTCTCATCAAGGTGTAAAAGATAACACAACTATAACAATTATACGATTTGAACACATTTGTAAATATCAAAATTGTCAGATTTTAAATGACTTACGCGATTTATATAACGATGTCATTTTTTTATTTTATACTTAAAAATAAAATATATATATATATATATGATGCATGTAATTGTTACAGCGTATTTGTAGAATAATAAAATGCAATTAGTGGATTAATAAATAAACACATAAAAATAATTATATGTAATAATTTTCACGTTAAATATTATATAAATAAATCATTTTACATATCTACTTCTATTTCCGATAATTTAATGATTAATATGAAACTTTATTACACAGAGGGAACATAAATATTATTTTATTTTTTATTATTTCTGAATCACGTGATCTTACAATAAATCTCTAGTACAGCTTATTTTTTTATGATCGCTGCAATTATGGTTATCAATAACAGCAAGGCTAAAGATATTTTACGTGACAAAAAACTGAATTGTATTAAACGCAAAAAAACTTATCGATAGTTTGAAAATAATTTTCTATATGTAGATATGCAGCTGATATTATCGTACAAAAGTACCGACCATCAAGACTGTCGATCGGATCGGTCGAAGTATTTAGTCTAGGTTTTATGGATGGCATTTTGCACACATGTGATTTAAATATATAACGATTAGATATAACCGCGCGAAATGAAAAAAGAAATGAAAAACGTCAGCGCGTCAAAAATTATAAAGGCATCATTAGCAGTCAAAAAACGTTATATGTCGAGAATTTTTCTTAATTGGATATATATGACAGTAAAGAAGCAAAATTTATCAAAGACAGATAAAATCAACAAGAAATAACGAATCAGTGAGCGTCCCATCAAACATCGGAATTATAAATTATCTTTAAAAATAATGCGCGATAAATGTGTAAAACGTTTTTATATATGTGCATATTTCGCGATTTTACTGTGCGATACCATTAGATATTACTAAAAATAAATAGTACGGCGAAAAAGAAAATAAGTATGCAAATCAATAGATAGATAAACGGGTGACTATTGATGACGATCGCGAATGTCGCACTATAAACACGTACCAGTTATAAAGGTGAAAAGGAAAACAAAGTATACATATAAATTTTGAAAATCACTATAAAATGGCAGCGAGGAAGATAAAGCGCGATAAGTACTATTGAGATCTATAGTATACGAGTTGTTACGAATCATTTTTTTTTCGCGATAGCTAACAATCCAATCTTTTTACATTATCATAGT